CTGGCCTGTTGTAGGGTGTCCAGACAGGTTCTCCAATGAACAGCCTCATCGCTTTGATGTAGTTCTGTCAAAGAACAAGAAGTAATTTAAGAGCTCCTTTCCATGGGATCTTCATTCTGAAGTTAATGTTTCATTTGCAATTCTATAGAAATAACTGAAACCATCTCAAGATGGACTGAAAGTTTCACATATTCCACAAAACTACAGCACTCCAGTGCTGTTCCCGCTCTCATCTACTGCCCTGGGAGATTTTGTACCTGTGCAGTGCAAGCTCTATGTCACAACATGTGCCTCCACGACAGGCAGAGATGCTGTTTCTCCCTGTTTCAAAAAAAAAACACCAAACCTAAAACTGCTGTCTTACGCAAATCTTTTGCACTGGATCCACAATACTGAGCAATGCAGCATCTAAATCCTACTTGCTTAGTTAAACAACAGCAATCAGAATACCCAAGATGGCTACTCAATGCTTTGGAAGAATACCAGAAGCTTCAAAATAAGAGCCATAAAAGCTGAATGGGGAGTGCATAAACAAGCCAAAAAATAATGCTTCAGGAAGTGAAAAGTCTCCAGATTCCAACAGGAAAAGCAACAGCCCCTGCCACAAGCTAACCAAAATTATGCCAGGTGCAAGGTACAGCTGTGGCAGTAGAAAATGGAGTTTTATGTCCTACAGAAGCACTCCAATCACTGAGTTATGGGGAACTCTCCTCTCCTGTCCACTATGCTACAGATTTAGACAGCACACATTTTCCAGGGGTAAAGCTGCAGTTACAAACATATTTGTAAAAGCCCAGAGGGACAGACACACAGATCAGGACTCCATGTGCCAATCTCACAGTCCCATTGCCAAAAATACCCTCTGAAAGCAGGTCACCTCCTGTGAAGCCAGCATCCAGCCTGGCACATGCTAGCTGCAAGTAGTGGACACTTAAATCCTTCTTTACCTGAAGGTGAATTTAGCACTTATCAAAACACCACTGCTGGACACAGATATACTCTGTCTATCCTCATGAAGATGCACAAGGCAACACAGAAGGATCCATCTACACCATCTCCACTTTAACTGACAGCGGGGACAATTGGGAGAGGGACAGCCATGGGTTTGGCTCTCATGCTACTGTCACATAAGATATGCTATGGATATCACGTGGCAATGACTTGCAGTTACAGCTGACGAGAGGAAGCTGGATTTCTGATCTGGAGATGAAAGGTTCAGATGCTGTGAATTATTTAGTATTTTTCATATTCCTACTTCATATTTAATATGTTTTGCTAATGAACTGCAAGTCTCAGGGCATGTAGTTACTAATGCGGTACCTACTCACATGATTTGTCATCAAAATTTACAGTAATCTATAACAACATACGTTCTCATCCAGTGTAAATCGGTGATATATGCCAGCAGGGAGGGTTATCATGTCTCCTTTCTCCATGGAAATCCGGATCCATTTGTCATCCTTGTCTCGAACATCAAAGTAGCCAGATCCATCTAAGATGTAGCGAATTTCATCGTCTAGGTGTAAATGCTCTTCATAAAATATTTTTATCTAGGAATAGCAAGTCTCTTAAAACTGCTGAACACAGAAAAACTGCAGAGAAATCTGGTAGAAACATGTAACAAAGCGGACAAAGGCTTTCAAAGGGTAACTGCACAGTGATTAACAGATGAGACCATAATGGTTGAAAGAGCGAATCCAGTCAGCCAGACCCTGTCTCGGGACACTTCTAAGCATTCCCTTTGGAAGACAGGAATTTCTCTGACAAGAAACAGCAGCCATAGCTGCACATAAGCAGTTGCTGAATAACAGTAAAGCTCGCATCTGTTTGAGAGAGAGAGAGGGGTAGAGTTTCCCACTGCAGGATTTGGTCCTCACAGTTGTTCATTTTTAGCATTTTGTGCCTTTTTTTTCCCCAAAATGCAAAACCAAAACATAGTTACAGGTTATCCCCCCTCTTTTACACTGGTGTAGGGCTGAATCAGACGCACAAGCTACTACAGCTGTGTGTGAAAATGCAGTTATTGCCAAACTTGTCCACCTACAGCAATCTGATGTAAGCAGCATGTCATGCCTGCCCCCACACAGCAAGCCCCAGCTCCAGGCTCTCTCCCTCCAGGTAACAGCAGCAACGTTCTGCTTTTTTCTGGAATGTTGAATTCTTTGTATCTGGAATGGTGAATTCTTTGTACATTTCACAGTATTGAACAAAACCGTGCTTTAAACATTTAACTAACAGAGACCTGAGCAGGTTAGTGCAATCACCAGATACCATCACCTGCTCAGGTCTGGATGCTGTTTAGCTCCACTAGTGCGTGTCCCTGAGCCAGTTCCAATACAATGCTGCAAGAGGAGCAAACGTCCATACACCATGTCAGTAATGGCTCATTTTGTGTCAGCTAGAGCCTGCCCAGGCAGCCTGAGTTACTACCTAATCATTCTGACATCAGTTTTAAACCAAACTTAAAACAAACTGGTAAACAGAAATATAATTAAACTATAGAAGTGACACTGGGTTGCTGTCCTCAGGTCAGAGGAGCACACCAGCACCCAGAAGCTGGGGGGAGAAAGCTCCTTCTAGGAGGCTCATCCGAGAGCCTGGCACCACTGGCATTCAATTGTCAAGAAGCAGCCAAGGTACCAGCTTCCCAGGGTAAAAAAAAAAGTCTTCTTGCACAGGGAATGCATCCCTCTGATTCCATATGGTTAACATTCACTTTGAAAAGACATGTTTTGCAAGCAGCCATTAGGATGTGTGAGCCTTCAAAGCCCATGCCCAGCTGGCAACCACCTGCCTTCATCCTGGGAGGCTCTCTGAGGACAGGCCAACATTGGCAGGGCTCTGAAGGTAGGAATCTTAGTTTCAAAATGACACAGTGAGGGAAACTATCCTTAAAACCTTTGAAGGCAATTTACAGAAGCAAAAGCCCTCTGGTATTTCTTAAATCAGACCAGCACTGCTTTTTTAACGTTAAGGACTTCAGCACAGGATGTGACACCTGGAAACCTCACCCTGTGCCCCTGCTGAGTGTTGTGCAGGTGGCCAGGTGCAAATCCCCACCGAACGTAAAGACTTGCATACCTTTTCCTCATAGTTTGGAAGCTTGTCTTTGTGTATAGTTATTATATCCATCCAAGAATAGTTTTCTGCTCTCCGGATCTCTTTCAGACATGGATCAGTCTCATAGTTATCAGCATCCAACTAAAAAATAGGCAAGGGAAAAAAGGAGGGGACCAGTCATTCAGACACATGGCACAATTCAGGGCACTGAGGTGGAAAACCCCGAGCTCCCAGGAGCGCCAGGTGAAGCCGAGTTAGCCGCCATGGACACACAAGCTGTGCCAGCTTCGGCAGAGGTACCTGCAGCGCTCCCTCTCTATCCCCTCACAGACACTGCTCGGCCCCGCCTACCGCCTGCCCTTTCCCGGCCTAGGCAGCGCCGCCGGCACTGACCCGGCCGGTACCGGCTCCCACTCTCCGCGCCCGAGCACCGCCCCGGGTCTGTCCCAACAGCTGTCGTCGCCGCTCCCCTCGTCGGGCGGGTGCCGGGGCAGGCCTAAGGCACTGTCTCCTCCAGGCCACCTGAGGCCCCGCCAGCTCCGGGCCTTCCAGGGGGCCAGGCCCGTGCGGCCCCGCCACCGCCATACGCGCTCACTGACTTTGCGGTAGACCACGCCGAGGCGGCGCAGCTCCTCCAGGCTAACGGCGCGGTTGGGCCGCAGCCGGTGAGGCGCCCGTTGGTCCTCCGGGGACTCGTCCATGTACCAGGCCTCCACCATTCCGCCGCCGGGGCTCCGCTCCGCTGGGCCGAGCTGGGCTGGGCGGGTAGCGGCCCGCCCCGGCTGGGCCGGGGCAGAGTCCGGGTGCAGCCCTGCACTGCCAGCCTATGGCCATTGCCGTAAAGGGGCACAATTTGCAACTGAAACTACGCTGAACGAGGAGTGTTGTGCGGCAGACACGGCTTTCGGTTTAGTGCACGGCCTTAGGCTCAGCAGCAAGAGGTGAGGAGAGGCCTCCATGAAGGAGATAGGTCCGCGTAAAGGGCCTCTCACCCGCACAAGTCCTCCTGGGTAACTTGCTGGTTATAGCACAGATCATGCCTAAGTTCATCAGCAACTGCGTTTACACCCATCCCGCCCTTGGCGGTAGTGCTCTGACTGAAGTTAACAATAGGGCTCAGCCTCAATGACCTGCCCTGTAATCCCACAGTATGGAAAAATAAGAAATGAACAAGGGAGCAGCAGGGGAGGAACAGTGGTAAGAAGCATTCTGCCCAGAAAGCTCATGTCTCTATCCATGAAGATACATCCTGAGAGAGCTGCTCGGGATGACCTGCTTGAGCTGGGAAGGACAAGACACACTCCAGCAGTGCCCTCCGGCCTCCTACAAACTACGTATTTCTGCAGTTCCACCTGGCAAATAAACCAACAGCCACCTAACACAATGTAAGGATGGAGAACCAGCTAGAATAATCACTCCTTAAATGCTTTTCTTCTGAAAAGAGTTTTATACTTACCAAAATATCTTAACCAGTATTTCCCGGATTCTTAGAACTGGCAACAGATCCCTTTATAGTATTCATATATAAGCACTACTGGTTTTTGATTCTGGGTAAAATTTAAGCCCCATAACATTACATCTGGTCCAGTGCTGGTATTGCCTACATTTTTAGAAGCACATAGGAATCCAGCCAGAGGTTCAATGCCTATCCACTGGATGTCATGGCACTAAATGCCCTGAAAGAATGACTTTCACAGCCACCATCCTCTGCAGGTCCTCAAGTCCCATTAATAAGTATTATTTGCTTTCCATCCTTTAATCAGCCTTAATCTTGTAACTTTCCTCTTAGCTTTGTTTTGTCCTACGTTTCCAGAGCAAGAATGATAAAAATTGGTATCAGTTAACCTAAAACTCTTTCCTATGAGATATTCTTTAGAAATTAGATATATTCTACCTAATAGATTCAGTGAACTTGCTGAAATTCAGTATTACACAGATGCTATGATTTACCCACCATTATCTGTATTTATTTTCCAAAGCTGCTGCTTCAAAACATAGAGATTTCCATACAGTAAATAGGATCTACATGTTTAACTGGAGATGTATTGATAGGCAGATGATTAGATGCCATGCCTTCAGTATGTTGCTGGTCACGCTGTGATACCTCAACCTGATCTGATCAGGGTTGATGGTGCGTCTTCCTTCAAGGCAAATTTCTAAAATAAACAAAGGGATGGAAAATTGTGTGCATATATACAAGAGGCAGAGGGGAAGAGCTAATCAGTGGACTACCTTCCCCCTACATGAGCTTTACTGTAGTTTTGGATGAGAGAAAGCAATTCTAAAACCTGCACTCATCTATTAACTACTAGCCAGCTTGTTTCCTCATTCTATCGCAATTCACATGACTCTAAATGCGTAAGAGCTTATACTTTGCCTCGGTAAAGATATTATAATGCATGAGTACTACTAAGAAATCAAATTTCAGCAGCTCCACCATTCTGTATCAACAAATACAAAAACAAAGTCAGCAACCTCCAGCTGAAGCCTTGCTGGTACCTTACAAAGAAGCTGACGAAGATAATATACCAAATCTGGTTGCTCTTCCCATGTATATGCATAGAAAATAAAACTATGTTGATTACTGGTAATTATTCTCCAATTCAAATGCACATTAGCCATTCCATTAATCTCATCATTGACTGGAAAAAATGAAGTCAAACACTCGACATCTGGAAGACCTAGAGAAGCTGATCATCTTCTAGTTCCATTTCAGATAAAATGGCCAATTATTTATTACCTTTGGTACAACACTGAAAAGGAACCAATAATGCTAACGTGAACCAGTATGCAGAAAAAAATACTTGATGGAAATAGGAGGCCAGAAATAAAGAGCTTGGACATTAAGCAGCTAGTGAAAACTGTAAAAAATTCACCATTCAAGTTCCCTAAAGATCTGGCTTTTTACTTTATTCATGCTGCCTTGCAAAGTAAGTAAAATTATAAAGAAATCTCAGGCGCTCTAGCTAATGATGCTGTGTGGCACAGGTGAGTGTTACAAGCCCACCTGCTACTGCCAGAGCATACCAACAGAGATCTCTGTGTTAGGTCCCCTCCCGCAAGTATTTTGGACTGTTAATATATACCTCTGTGCAACAAAATAATTTATTTTGCTAAGAGAAAAATACAGAACACAAGATAAAGATTCAATATTACTTCTTCCGAAGTCTGTCTTTACAGTGAATTCAGAAGTCTGCAAGACAATTAAAACTACTGACTGAGGCCCTTCAGTAAGGTGGGGTAAAAGCAAGCACTTTGTATCATCAGATTAAACAAAAAAATGCAAAAAACTTGACTGTAAAACAAATGCTATAAAAGAAAATGTGATGGTTTTCTCCAGTGAAGTTGGTACATGTTTTAACACTTCAGGCCATAAAGAAGTACACTTCAAAGTTCAACTCTGAAACAACTGCAGCCATTCAAGTTGTCACTGTGATCCTGGCCCTTTCCCTCCCGCTGTGATGGTCCCTAGTCTCTGTACATCAGGACCATTGTTTACTAGCTCCTTCTCTTGCTAGTCTATCAGCTTCTTCATTTCCTCTGAAGCCAGCATGACCAGGAATATGCATCTGTTAGGACAAAAGGAGTGTTAGATATGCAAGAAAAAGGTACACACATGGAATTTGATCAGTCCACACGCTTTCACTCACAGTACAGCAGCACCTCTGTAGAAGCCCCCTCCTCACATTGAGTCCCTACATGTTCTTACCAGGAATGTTCAGTCTCCCTTCCTCTAGGAAAGTCTTGCCAAACTGCGAAAGTCATCCTTCTGGGAAGTAGTGAACTGGTAATAAGGACTACCTAGCCTTTAAGAAATGCAGACAACAGCTCCAACTCAAAATTCCCACTTTCAGAGAAGAGAGGAAAACCTATCTGTATTCAGTGCTTAAGCCACGTTAACCTTTACCCAGAAAGCCAGAGACCCCTGTGCCACTAACAGCTTTGGTGGTTATGGCACTTGCCTCAGATATAGGAACAGGGTATGAAAAGAATCTCTCAATTTTCAGGTATTAAACTGCCCATCCTTCAATTAGCAACTGAAAACACTTCAACCCCAAGTCTTTCCTTGTCAAAGGCAGGAGTGGAGCCCATGGAGATCCATGGGTCCATGATGGAGCGGATATCCACATGCAGCCCATGGAGTACCCCATGCTGGAGCAGGGGGGTTACCATGATAAAGTGTATACATACATCACTCTTCCCAAAATAAAAGTCTTCCCAAATTTTGATTCAGCTGTTAGAAGTGTGCACAAAGCAACACTACCTTTTCTTTTTTTTTTTATGTAAATACTCGAAGGACAGTTGAACTTTGCTTTTAGTTTTAGATTCTTGCACAGTCTTCTCAACAGACAACAGGAGTAATTATACAAAATTCTAGTCAGCCTTTAAATTGGAGTCACCAGCTCTAGAACACAGACCAACATGAGTGAAAGAATATCTGTAATATATTTCTCATAGGAAAAGTGCACATTAAAGATCTAATTCATCCTGTTTTGTACAGAGTAAAGACAGAAGCCCAATAAATATACCATTAGCAGCCAAAAAGTCAATGGTAAAGAGATTTAGTTCTAGAATCAGTGGGCTTACGTTACAATTAGAGTAAAATTTAGAAGGAAGGGGGGTAGATATCCCCTACAATGTTCAGTGCTGAGGTCACAGAAAAATGTTTTATTAGGAATACCTGTATTCCTATTGTTTTTACTTCTTTACTGGAAAGCAAAACAATTTTAAACTTAACAATGCGTAAAGACCTTTACGCCCAGTTTTCATGGAAAAAACCACAGTTACGGTACAGAGGACTAGAGTTGGTTTACTTGGGATTATAATCTCTTCATTTTCCCATCTTAAAGACACCCATGCGATTGAGTTGCACCAATGAACCAGCATTTTAAGAGTGCTGAAAAGCAAATCCAGAAATTCAGCTATGACTCGAAAAGACAGTAGCGTTTTAAGCTTAGTTTTCCAGCAACAGAAATCTCATCTACTAACAGTACTAATGAACTAAAAGTAATTATTGCAGGCATCTAAGCAGTAACAAGAGACAGAAAACAAATATAAGCATGCATTTTAATAAATGAAATCCTGGTTCCAAGAGTCTAGTTATGTTGCTTATTTGCTTTAAATAAAACCAGCAGCTTCTCTGTATTTACGGTTTTACTTATGGATGTAGAGTATTATGCTCTATAAAAATCTTAGTTACAATCATACTTGTCAATTTTTACAAGAAGCATATTTAAGATGTCATTAATAAGAAATCAGGTGCTTACCCACTGAATTTCTATATCTTTTGATAAATTAGCAAGCCTTTCAAAATCTTCTTTATTTATTACACTTCTTCCTGAACTTGTCCTCCAGCCATTTGTTTTCCAGTTGTCAACCCAGCTTGTAATACCTACGTAAAGGGGGCATCACCATGAAAATGCTATTAAAGAAGCCAGCATGATGATGACGATAAAGGTCTCTTCCAACCCAAACCATTCTATGATTCTAGAATGGAGTAAAGACCCTTTTAACAAGACATTAACTGTACAAATTCTCATGCAAAGACACTGGAGATAAAAGATATTCTTTCCCTGGTTCTCTACCACTGTCTTTCAGGACTGTATTTTTCCATTATTACCTGCATTACTAGAACATGTTTTCCCTAACAGATATTTAAACACTGCAATCCTATGCATGCATTACACACAAAATTACGACATGAACTTCACTAAACTGAAGCTAAGGATTGCCTGATGCTACAGTAAGCTAGAACAGATCTACAGTTTTATTTATTCTGAGAAATTGAGGAGACACATGCATAGAGGAAAAATAGATGACCACTTGTCTTGTGGCTTCTGCACACCAAACAGAATCCTTCAGAGAAGGACCATATATGCAGATTTCTACAGAACAGTATTTAACATTCTGGCCATCCCTTGGCTGGCCAGAAAATGTACTGTATTACTCCTTAAATAAGAAGACAGATATAGCCAGAATGTTTGGAAATGTAGTCTACATGTACAAAGCAAAGAAACTTGAATGGACTTCACAAGTGTGTATGAACATAGCCTCTCCAATCCAAGCAAAACAAAACACCTCCAGGGTTACTACACCAACTTCCAAGTACTTTCCTGAGTACATCCTTACTAGTGTACACACGAATGACCTTTCTTCTAGACTTTTGTCTCATACTGAATGCCTTAAGACAAAACTCCTGTAGTTACCTCTATCAGCCTTTACTGTAACATATAGTTTGTCTCTGCTTGTATTTCATGCAGTTAGCAGGAGATGCTGCAATATTCTGAATTCTTTCTCCAAGCAGTCCTCAGTGTTGAAATAAGTTATGCATTCTCTTCCGTATATCCCTCTTCCCAAAACCACATTCTGTGGCCCTTACGTAATAAACATGCAGCATGTCTTTAAGAATCAGGAAAACTAACATCATTAACTTACCATTAATAGTGAACTTGCTATCAGTGTAGATAATAAGTTTCTTGATGTTTTGACTCTTTGCTTGCTCTATTGCTTTGCAGGCTGCCTTAAGAACATTTCAACAGAATCAAACTTCAGATCAGGACTTTGAACACATGCAATTAAAATTAAAATACCAGCAAAATACCTGATGCTAACACAGAACTACAAAGAATATTACTGCAATCTCTCCATCAGTGAGTATCAACACACTTTAGAGCACAGGTTCCCAAAATTATGCATGCTGATGACCAATTAATGAAACAGGCAAACAGGTAGCCACTGAAGCTTCACTGGCAAAGAGGAAGGATTCATACCAGTTCCAACAGACTGGAACTCCTAAAAGCTTTGAGGGGGTTTGCGGGCTTTGGAGTAGGGTTTTCTTTTTTGTGCTGAAATACAGTAAGAGGGAGAAGTGGCCACGTTTGGATGTAGAGCTGAAAAGACCTTTAGTGACAAGTTTGACCCCTGGCACTCCACTATCACCTCTGCTTGTCCCTCACTAAAATGAACTTCCTGCCATTTATAAGCAGATGAATTCTTCATTTCAGTTCATCTCCAAATGCACAGTGCAGGATAGCAGCAATACCAGAACTGAAGTGAGAAGGGAAGATTAAGTCTGCTGTTGCCAACAAAGTTTACTTCATAAGTAACAGAAGTTGCTCCTGCAAGCCTAGAACTGTTATATTTATCTAAGGAACACAATACTCTTGAGACTGCAGTATGGGTGCTGCCATAGTCAGGGGTTTGGTTATTTAGAACATGGGACTCGCTTTGGGAAGCCAGGTCTACTACATGCTGATGGGGCTGGTCTGACAAAGAAGGGGAAGAGATTCTCCTCTTAGTCACTACTCACCCTAAGATTCTAGATACACACATTAAAAATGCAAAGGATACAATACAAATTTGAGAATGAGGCTTTCCAAATGCCAGACTGTTTTATATAGCTGTGCTTGGCCTGACGGTATTTCGGTATTCTCAAAGTGAACCACCTCATTCAAAATACAATGAAGATCAATAAAACTCAAAGAGAATGATCTGTTTCAAGTCATAACTCCTCATGTTTTGTGTGCTTCTCTCACAGTTTCTTAACTGTTTCTAAAGGCCAGAGCTGAAATAGTCATGAATGTGCTACTGTGGTCTAACATGCAGAAGTATTTTAGACATTTACTACTTACATGTATTTCTGCTCTTTGATTAGTCTGCCGTCCAGGAAGTCTTTCACTGGTATTTCTGTGTCCAAGGAATGAAGAGTAGAGTAGTTACCCCCAAATTTCAGAATGGTGTATAATGAACACACATTATAAAAATAAATATAAGAGAGCTACCTTTCATTTTATAAAGGAGAATGAATAAATAACCTAGCTCTAACCTCCCCCTGCATATTTGGACCTGTTATCAATCTGCAGTTAAATTTGTCATCTTCAGTGCACACTTACATCTATTTTAAAACTTTCTGCATCACGTGAGTTATAGCTCCAGTCCCTAAATACATTATTTCAAGTTGCTTTTCCCTACATTCTTACCTCCCAAAGAAGCTGATTTCTCTTTTCACCTTAAAAACTCAATTGCCTCATAGCACTGTCATTATGAGTCTCAACAGCATGGTTTCATATTCAAAAGGAGGCTGGTATTGTAAACTGCATCCACACCAAACAGTAATATAGATAAAAAAAAAAAAAAAGAAAAAAGAATAAATCCATCCAGCTACTTACAAAGGGTGGCTCGGCCCCCAGTAGACACCTATTCCAGCACGTGCCCTGCTACGTCCATTACCTGAGCAACAACCATCTGTATAAACGACTGCAAACTCACCTACAAAATAATTACCAAAAGCAGAAGCTCAAGAACTAGTTCAAGGGCATAGACTCTTTAAGCAAAAAGAAATGTCTGCCAGCAGATTAATCCCCAGAACTTCCCTCCAACAGAATCCTTCAGGATTCACTACAGAAGCAAAAGCAATATAAATTAATAATGCAGAACACCAGAAGTCCCACTGCAGTGTCACACCCCCAATTTGACTGCCTCAAGAAGCACTTCTGCCCAACTTCCGTATTTTCACTACAGTTCCCGTCTTCTCCAATCAACTTAAAACTTCCCAGCTACATCAGTATATTTAAATACAGTCTGTAATCCAGACACACATGATGATTGCATTAAGCTCTATGTTGATACCAGTTAAAGCCAACTAAAATTACCATGAAAGACAATGTGAACAAACAAATCATGGCTCACATTTCTATCTTAAAAAGAAACTATGTTAGGCTGGGCATCATGTTGCCATACACAAACCTTCCTAAAGGCTGTCTAATAACTACACCTGTTACATATCAAAGAGTGCAAAGAAGTTAAAAGAATTACAGGAATAATGAAAAAACTCACCCATATATGAAAATTTATCTTCACTGACTGTTGGCGCTGAGTATACTTCATCATGTTTTACACGCTTTGCAATGTGCTCTCCACCGGTAGACTGTTCATACGGCCTTTTGCATGTATTGCAACACAATGCATTTATTTCTGGTTCCTCTCTCTGGCTACCATTTTCCTGTGTTACAGGTGCAGGACCCTGTGCCCCTTCAAAAAAAAAAAAAAAAAGAAAAGAAAGAAAGAAAAATAAAAAGGAGAGAAAAGAAGTTTAACTACACAGAATCGCAGAATCAGCTAGGTTGCAAAAGACCTTTAAGATCATCAAGTCCAACCTTTACCCCAGGACTGCCAAGACCACCAGTAAACGATGTCACTGAAGGCCTCATCTACACGGTTTTTGAACATTTCCATGAATGGTGAATCCACCACTTCCCTGGGCAGCCTGTTCCAATGCCTCACTTTTGGTGAGTTGATTTTTCCTAATATCCAGTCTAAACCTCCCCTGGCGCAGCTTGGTGCCCTTACCTCTTGTCACTTGAGAGACCAACCCCTGCCTCACTACAACCTCCTGTCAGGTCATTCTAGAGAAGGATAAGGTCCCCCGAGCCTTCTTTTTTCCAGACTAAACAACCCCAGTTCCCTCAGCCATTCCTCATAAAACTTATGCTCCAGACCCTTCACCAGCTTCACTGCCCTTCTCTGGACCTGCTCCAGCACCTCAATGTCTTTCTTGTAGTGAAGGGACCAGACCTGAACATCGTATTTGAGCTGCAGCCTCACCAGTGTCCAGTACACAGGGGGTGACCACTGCCCTAGCCCTGCTGGCCACACTATTTCCAATACAGGCGAGGATGCCATTGGCCTTCTCGGCTGCATGGGCACATATATATCAAATCTTACCTGAAACAACTGCTCCTAAAAACAAGAGTCATTATCACCTAATGCTAGCCTCTTAACTGACACCACCGCAAGCTACTATGCAAAACATTTTATAGTACACACCATTCTTGATCCTTGATCAAACTGAAGAGGAAACACACATAGCCAAATGTAAGACACAGTACAGGCAATGCACAAGCACCTACAGAAGGTACATGCACACAGAGAATCCCTTCCATTGCACAGATACACCCATCGCTGTGTTCAGAGGGCAGGGCCACCGCCGCACTTACCACCACGGTACTCCGCCAGTTACCATGCGTCCACCAGAGAATACGAAGGGGCTGCTACCCACGTCTAACTTGTTTACAGTGAGTTTACGGGGAAGGCAGACATGCCGAGTCTCCCCCCTCCCCCCACCGTCGGACCGCCCTTCCCAACCGGACGAGGAGATGCGGAAGGCGGGGGAAGGACGAGCTACCTGCTGGCAAAGGCTGCTGCTGCGCCGGGAGGTCGGAGCGCACGAAGGCCCAGGCGTCCTTCTCAGTAGCGAACTTCTTGAAGGTAGCGGAGGGGAACTTGTTCACTTGCTCCTGACACTCTGCCCTGTAACACCGGGAGAGCACAGGCTGAAGCCGGACCGAGGGTGAGGGTGGGACAGGGCTGAGGCCGGCCCGGCTGCGGCTCCCTGTGCTGCCGCGGCCCTTACCAGGTGCGGTAAACGCCCGTCCGCCGGCCCTTGCGCACCGCGTAGAACATGTCCTTGGAAACAAAACAGGAGTGACTGAGCACCGCCACAAGCCACCGCAACATGGCGCGGCACCGCCGCCATCCGGCCCCCCGAGCCCACCCCCGGCCACCACACACCGCCGCTCCCTGCCGCACAGCGACGACACACTCATCCACCTCCGCCTACGCATGCGTGCTGGCCGCTAGGGTAACGGGAGCGAGGGCACGTTGAGGGCTTTCCTACGGGCCGCGAGAGAGGACAAACCCGGGGGGAGCGGCTTGCTCTTGGGTTTTGTTTGTTTGATGTTTGTCTTCCCACTGTTACCCGGTAGTGAGGAAGTTAAGGTTTGTAAAGGACTGTGTGTGGGAAAGCTTGAAAATCTTGAGTTTATAATTGAATGTAGCAAGGAAAAACAGTGCTTTCTTACAAGCTCATAAACCTTGAGGAGTGATAGAAGTCTAAGCAATGAAGCACCTGGATCAGAAGAAGACTCATAGAAAGGTTTGGCTTGGAAGGGAACTTAAAGACCATCCAGTTCCAACCTCCCTGCCATGGGCAGGGACGCCTTCCACTAGACCAGGTTGCTCAAAGCCCCATCCAACCTGGCCTTGAACACTGCCGGGGATGGGGCAGCCACAGCTTCTCTGGGCAACCTGTGCCAGTGCCTCACCACCCTCACAGAGAAGATTTTTTTTCCAATATCTAATCTAAATCTACCTAAGAGTAACATCTATCCAAGTAACGAGTAAATCTAAGAGTAACAACTAACTTCAGAAAGATTAGGAAGGCAGAAGTAATTTTGAAAAGCCTAGCAAAACGGAGGATAACTCTGTTCCTAGAGGAACTTGTTTCAGTACAATACTAAAAATCACACTCTTGGAGATAATAAATCACACTCTTGGAGATAAGAGACCCTTGCCTACAGACCTTTATTCATGGAACATGCATTGTGAAATAAATACATACTTTGTCTTTAAACAGATATGTAAGAGCCAATGATTGTGGATACAGACTATTGACATGTACAGAAAGGACTTTCACTGTTTAAAATGTATAAAAAGTAGATAGCTAGCAGACTGAGGGTATGCTGGTTTTGTGGATTTACCAGCTAGTACCCATATATAGACATGAATTAAACATTTTGACTCTGTGTAAATCAGCTCTCTGCCCACAGGCTGAAGAACCCTGATTTTGAGACAACACCACCATAATAATTGTATTTTAAAAGCCATCTAAATCAGCTTTTGTTTTCTGGGGGGACACATGAGGTGTATGGGATCACAGCAGTTTACACAAACTCCTCATTCTGAAAGCAGCTGTTCTTAAAAGACAAATGACTTCTCACAGGTGTCCTCAGCTGAAGTTCTCCTGTGCCAGCCAAAATATTGGTCGCGATCATGTGACCAGCTACCATGAGTAGCCTCATGGCCTCTAATGAGTCATTAGAATGATGACTGCACCACCTGTGAATGATGTACCCTGCAACATGCTGTACAGGCCACACTTGTCCTTCTGGGCTTGACAAGCACCCCAGGAAGGACTGGCACTGAAATATGGCACAAGTGCCAAAGTATTTAGTACATTCAAAAGTAGAGCTGATGAAGGTCATAAAACTGGTTCTCATCCCACTATGTAAATCAAGGGTTCCTGGTGTGTGTGTTCCAGCAGAGCCCTGTACCATGATGGCCTCTGAAGTAAGAAGAACCACCTGGTCCAAGCAGGTTCAAGTTCAGACTGTTGTGAGCTGCAGCCTGCTGTCAAACATCCTCATATCAGGAGAGTCATGTGCTTGGGGAACAAAGCTAGGCGGTCCAGGTATGTGACAAATCCAGTGCCTCAACTGAGCTGCTGCTGAGATCAAAGAACAAAAGTTGGGGTCACTGGTATGACTGCTTCCAGAAACTGCCCAACACATACATGCTGCTTTTTTCAACTGCTAGATTTCTCTTGTAGCTGTACATAATTGTGTTGAGACAAAGCCAATCTCAAGATGCCAGAGCTGTAGAGCCTTCTATTCAGATTTACAGGGGTGGTCTAGTAAAATGCCAAGAATGTGAAACACTGACACTAATTTTGTCTTCCATTGCAGAGGCAACAAACGGGTTCAGCTTCGCTGCGCATATCAGCTGGATTACACCTCTCTTTTGAAAGAACCCAAAAGTAAACCAAAGTGCTTATTTATGTGACAGGCCTTGGGGGAATACAGAAACAATTTGGTTGGGGTTGTATCAGCATATAATTACTGCATTTTTCTTGCTTTTTCCAACATACCGATGACAGTTCATAGAATCATAGAATAGTTAGGGTTAGAAAGGACCTTAAGATCACTTAGTTCCAACCCCCCTGCCATGGGCAGGGACACCTCACACTAAACCATGTCACCCAAGGCCCTGTCCAGCCTGGCCTTGAACACCAACAGGGATGAAACATTCACAACTTCCCTGGACAACCCATTCCATATTCCTCCTTTCATATTGCTCTTACTTAAAAAATGCTTACATCTGATTTTCTCAGATCACGATTATTTACGTTAGTTATCCCTGTAAAGGTTTCCAGTGAGACTTTCAGGCTTTTCACTATTTCCTGCTTGTGATATTTTTATTTTATTGATCTTGGTTAGCTTTTAATTATGGTTTTCTATAGCAGATGGATCTCTTATTCCATACATGTTCATACACATTACTCTTAGTCTTCTTTGGGCAACATGTACTGAATGGAGTAATGAGTAGTCAGTGATGGAGAAAGAAAAGACAGTCTGTTAAGCTCATTAGTTCTCTAGTTGAACAGATTCAGACATCCAATTTATATGCAAGGACTAAACAGTAACTCTCCTGCTGTCATGGCCAACATGCAGAGCTCAGATTAAAACAAACAAACAAAAAAGCCCCCCAAAATTTTAATTCCACTGAGTACCATACACATTACTTTCATTGCTTTTTCTCCTGGTTGGTAAAACTGAGGCTGCGCATAGCCAGCTAACTCTACCCTTACTACTGCATCTCTGTTGCTGATTTTTCCTTGCTGTTGTGCTGCAGTGGCAGGTGAGATGGATCCCTTCCCTTTTCTCATGTGGCAGCTGGCATTTTTGCTATTGTGGCATTTAGCACCATGAGGCTAAGCAATACCTGTGCTTGCTTCATGGTACTTCCTCTCTGGTTGCTGTAGCTCTAGTGGATTCGGGGCGGGGGGGGGGTGTGTCAGTCAGCCCAGGGCAGAGAGGATGTTTCAGGCTCTTTAATTCACGTTTTTGTGAAGTGAGTGCAAGGACCCAAGAAGCGACCCATTTAGTCCCCACCTGCAAAGATGAAGGCTCCAGATGAGCTCTCCTCATCTGAATACAGAAGGTAAATATATACATGGATAGGACTTTAAGTGGGTTTCATGAACCATTTAGCACTTTTAGTCAACATCAGTTACACACAGCAACTCTGTGTAGCCACTGTAGAATAGGCTGATGAGGTATACCATATGATGAGTTTTCCCATATCAAAGCTTCCATGAGTGCTGAGATATTGGGAATGAGTGGCTAAGTGAAAAGGAAAGAGAATAAGTGATCCTGTTTTGGTGGAAACATGGTGGCACCATGCTGAATGAGAGTGGTCACTGAGCCATGCATGGCCTGGTAGTGAGCGTTACTCTCACCACACTGCATCATAAATTCAGCTGTGTTTTACTGTCTCCATTATTCAGCTTATAAGAGGTGCTCTGTTCTAACACACACTCCCCCCCCCCCCCCACTTGTGTATTCATTTATTAACATATATTCTTGGCAACCATTTCTGTGTTTATAACAGTTTGCAGAAAAAAAAACATAACATATGTATACAAAAAATACACTTATCACTTTAGTAAGGGCATGTGTCTGTATGGCATTTTTACTTAAACTCACTGTAAATTTATCTGACTACTTTGCCCCATATTAATGTATGTATTATACACATTAGCTAAGCATTTTAATCTTATTTGATAAATATTTTGGCTTGTAACATGGTTAACCGCAATGTAGTTCCCCACATAAGCTTTTAAAGCCAAATTTGATGTGACCTGAATCAAACATTTCCTATTTAAAACTGAGATTTTAGGTAGGTAAGCAACTAGGTAGTCATTTTATCTGGCATACCCTGCGAGTGTAAGTTATATTGCTGTCACATTACCTTGATTGAAAACATGACAGGAAAGGAGCTGTTTTATCTTCCTTGTCACAACTGAGATCTTGCAGAACAAAAAACTTGCTTGTACTTCAGTGTAAAACTACGTGTCAGTGAAGCCGCAAAGTAGTAACCCCTGGTATCATCGCAGTCTTCAGCCGACCTTTAGTGGAACAGTCCACCCATGAGCTTTGAAACTCTGGTATGGTTATACAAGCCTCTCCCAGGAAAGTGAGCTGGCAGTTCTACAGGTAGCTCTGATCCTGACAAGTCCTGCCTTCTGTCTCTGTGTCTTCCACTTATATGAGATATTGTCCTACTGCTGTTGGGATACTTCTGTAACACACCTGACATTCTTTCCACTTCTTCACCCCACCTATTCTGAGTCTGCACAATGTAAGAACTTTATTCATTATACTACTTTGTTATGACATAACTTCTTTTAAAGATCACATGCCCACAGTGATTTTTGAAAACCTGTCAGCTGCTTTGCATACCAGACACTGTTGACTGGGGTAAAGCCAACATATATCTCAACATTGCATCTTCCCCTAATCCATAGTCAGTGTCAGAAAGAAATCTATCTACACCTTTTCTCGTTGCTCCAATGTAGCATTCAGGTCTATTCAGCAGCAGTAATAGCATGAAGATGGGCAACTGTAGACAGTCATCTATATTTTTATTTTTCATCAGCATTCTGAATAGTCAAATTTTGATCCACCTGTATGCCACTTAGTCCTTCTCCTTGTCATGAACGCTTTCAAAGTAGAAACTGCATGTGGACTACTGGACTGCTGAGGTGATTACTTGTCATCTTTCTTTTTTTACTCTTCGATAAGATCCTCATCAGTGTTGTGCAGATAATTTAAAATCTCTGTAAATACTAATCCTGGCCATCAGCATGAGCTGGGCAGTTTTTCCTATTTGTTTAATTCATGCAAGAGAAGAAGACTGACATGGGAGAAAATGGGAACTGAACAATCTGCTTTTCTGACTATCATAAATACATCAAAAAGCCCACAAATGTTTGAAAACATG